CTGGCCGTTCACCCCGCATGGCCCTACGCCAGCTCCAGCAAACATCCGGGGGTGTGATTCCAGCAGCAGTCACCTGCTGCCCGCCCAGGAACCTGGCCCCCCGGGGACCTGGCCCTCCAGCTGTGGCGACCTCAGAGCGAGGGCCGAGAGACCAGTGACCGGACGGGTCGGGTGGCTGTTGCAGCACAGTGGTTCCAGGGCGGGCGGGCGGACAGGCAAGAACTGAACACAGAGCAGCGGGTGGCTCTGGGCAACACCCTCAGGGCCTGACCCGCAGCCGGTGCCCCTGGAGCACATGGGGCGGGGGGGGGGGGGTGTGGGACCGGCCCCTCTCTGGAGCCCTGTGCACCTGCTACAGGGGATAGCCCGGAGCCGGGCAGTCCCAAGAACAAGCATGGACACAGAGCAAGCTGGAGCCACAGAGGGAGAGGAGCACCTGTACCCTCGGGTGCCCCCGCTCCTCCCTCCCGGCACATCCTCTGCCTCTGGGGCAGGGAGCCAGGCCCCAAGGCTCGATTCCCACCTGTAGAATCCTGGGGGCTCCAGGCCCGGAGTCGTCCAGCCCGGGGCTCTGCACAGAACGACAGGCGCACTGCTCCAGGGGCCCCGGGGGACCCAGCGCCAGCCAAGGCAGGGGTCAGGCCTGCAGCCGTCCAGGCTTCCGGCCACTGCCCACCCTCCCACATCCCCACCTCCCAGTAAGGATTCTGGTGGTCTGTGCGCTCTCCTGGGGAAGCGGTGCAGACCCCGTTTAGGAGGGTTTGGGGCAGGAAAGCCCAAGTGTGCAGGGCAGGCAGTGGGGAAGCTCAGGGGACACATCTGCCACCACCCTCACCTTGGGGACACCTGCTGGGCCCTGCAGGAGGCTTGGGAGCAGGCACCATTAAAGCCTGGAGGGGCGCCCTTCCCTCTCCCCTCCCGCTCTCTCAGCATCCCGCCCCCCCGGAGGCTCCCCACCAAGATGGGCCCCCCAGGGAGGTGGGGTATTTGGACTAAGGCTAGGTGTGGACACCGCGACACCCACAGCCCTCTGGCTCCAGGTGCCAGCGTCCGTGGCCCACGTACGTGGGGTGCTTGGTCAGCGGTACCCGGAAGTGACCGCACCACTGTCCCACCAGGAGGAAATGCTTTCTGAGTGCACATACGTGTCCTGTGGAGACGCGGGCTGGGCTGATCAATAAGAGACCCACAAGCATGCACGTCTGCGCGGTGGGACAGAAACCCCCGGTGAGAGCGGCCGTGCGAACGCACAGGAAGCGGGGAACCGGCCGGCGCTGTGGTCTAGCGGGGAAAGCCCTCGCCTGTGCCGCCTGCATCCTGTATGGGCACCGGCTGCTCCACTTCCGATCCAGCTCTCTGCTGTGGCCTGGGAAAGCAGTAGAAGATAGTACAAGTGCTTGGGTCCCTGCACCCACGTGGGAGACCTGGAAGAAGCTCCTGGCTCCTGGCTTCAGCCAGACCCAGCGCCTGCTGTTGAGTGAACCAGCGGATGAAGCCGATCTCTCTCAAGCACGCGCCACCTCTGACTTTCATACGAGTAACAAATCTACCCTGAACCAGCCCGGAGGTTATGCGGCAGGAAGCGGTTAAGGAGGAATGCAACCCACGACCCACAACCATTTCTTTTAAAACATCAGAATTTCCCCTCCCTGGGGATGGGGCGGGGGAGACCCAGGTTCTTTGCAAATATTTAAACCTAGGGAGATGAATGCCAGGAGCTGCGGCCCAGAGTCTGCAAATGATTAACGCGGACGCTCTAAGTGCCTGCGAGGGAACTCAGGTGAACTCCTGCGGTGCTGCTGTGTGTGGACGTTTCTGAAAAATGTTGCAGGAAATGTGTGAGGATGGCGTTGTTTTCAAAGGCCACTTTTAGGGTCACTCTGAAGGCAGAGTGACAGGGAGAGGGAGGGAGGAGACAGCGAGAGAATGGGAGGGAGGGAGGGAGGGAGGGAGGGAGGGAGATCGATTTTCCACCCACTGGTTCACTCCCCAAACTGGCCACCGAGGCTGGGCCAGGCCAAGGCCAGGAGCTTCATCCGGGTCTCCCATGTGGGTGGCCAGACCAAAGTTCTTGGGCCATCGTCCACTGCTTTCCCAGGCACAACAGCAGGGAGCTAGAAAGGAGAAAGAGCAGCCGGGACATGATCAGGCACCCACATGGGACGCCAGCTTCAAAAGTGACAGCCCCCGGTGTTCTGTCTGAGGGGCCCTGACCCCGGCCTGCAGGGCCACTGCGGTGACAGCCACCTATCAGAAGGGCGGCCTCTGGGGGGGTCTCCAAACGAAGCCCTTTAAGTCAAGCACCCCGGGACTCGGGGCTCCTCCTAAAAACAAGAGCTTTCCCACACTGGTTTCCCAGGACTCCAGGGCAGAACCCCTGGGGGAGGCCAGTCCAGAATTTCCGGGGGTGGGCCGGGCAGGCTCTGTGCCCGAGGCCCCAGCCTCAGGTCAGGGTTTTTCAGCCCAATTCAACCTGCACTGAGGGACCACCCTGAGGGTCCAGGGGGCGCCTTCCCGAGGTCACCCCAAGCCCTGCCCACTGACAGCCGGAGGCCAAACGTGAGGAGCCCTGCGGGTCACGGCCCAGGCACTGCCGGCCGCCCAGCAGGCTCTTAGTAATGCCATCGCCCAGGAAGCAGCCCGCGCTTCGGCCGTCCCACAGTCCCTGCACCCTTCCTGACCCAGCAGGCTGCTGCCGCTGGGCCCGTGCCAGCTCCCGGTGCTGGGCGTGTTGGACACATCTCCTCCCTCCCTGTTGGGACTGGAAGCCCCTTGAATGGGGGAGGGGCACTTCCTGGGCCCCCACGGCCCCTCCCCCGTATTTCCAGGAGAGCTCCCAGAAGGGGCATCCGCTGTTCACCATAAACCGTCCAGCCAAATGCCAATCACATCCAGAGGTCTCCCGGGAGGCACAGCAACAGGAGGACGCATCCCGCTGCCCTGCGGCTGTGTCCTGCCGGGTGACGTGCATGGAGCCCGGCCGTCATGCAGGGATGGGGGGCTGGACGCTCCCAGGCCACCTGCGCTCTGTTCCCGGTCCTCTACGCCCTGGCTGGGTGACCCAGGCCAAGCGGCTCCACTGCCCTGGGCTTCAGGCTCCCGCCGTGTAACGTGGGAGTCACAGCGGCCGTTCCCTTTACCCGGAGAAAACAGAGAATGGACAGCGCGACTTGGTGTGGCACCTGCCGGTGCTGGGGCCAGCTCACTTCCGTGGGGGGCCGGCGATGCAGCCCTGGGAAAGCCAAGTCACCTGGACCTCTTCAGTCTTCAACACCTCACCCCCAGGCCCATTCCCAGCACCAGCTGTGCAGACAGCAACCTGGGGCCAGCTCCAACCAGGCGTGCGGCGGCCAGAGAAAAATCAAGCAATCCCAAGACCTCCCCAAGGGGCAGGCCTCCCTTCCTGAACTGCCACAGAGAGCAGCTGACCGTGCCGGGGCGGGGGGTGGACCACCAGGCCCAGGGCCTTCCCTCAACAAGCCATCCGCTCACAGAGGGTCCAGGGCAGGTGGAGATGAGGACAGGCCCCTCCGCCCCCTCCCCAGCTCGAGGCTTCTGAAGAGGCCATAGATGATCATTTCCCGGGGGGCCCGGATCTGCTGCTGGAGGCCTGAAGACCACAGAGCAGGAGGCTCGGCAGGTGGCAGGTGCCAGCGTGCAGGCGGGATCCTCACGCCCCGGGATTCCCGTAGAGGAGCAGGTGCGCCTCCATGAGCCCAGCGTGGGCAGGCCCCCGACTCGCCTGCCCGAGAGGCCACCAGAGCTCTGCCCTCAGGGCCTCTCTGGGGATGAAGCACCCACGCCCAACAGGTGCTTCTCCGCTGCCTTCGTGGTGCCGACTCGCGGCACGTTCTCCTCGGGGTCCGGCTTTGTCCCTCATTCTTGCTCCTCATCCCCGACGCCATCTCGGCCACCTGGACAGAACCCTGCACGGAGACCTGGACCACACTCCTGGGCAGGGCGAGCCCCTGATACCAGCAGAGAGACCCTGCACACAGCCCCATGTCTGCTGAAGGAATGAAGGAAGGAAGGAAGGAAGCTCCGGGGCTTCGCAGGCAAGCCAGCCCCACCCCCTCCTGGGATCTGACAGTCAAAGCAGCCAAGGGCTGTCAACAGCACCACCTAGGACCACCTTTTCCGGTAAGCCACCTTGCTCAGGGCTCTCTGCGCACCGCAGCCTCCCTCCACAGGGCACCAAGGAGGAGCCCAGCTTCCCAGCCGACCCCTCCTGGCCGGTAGAGGTGGACCCTGCAGCCACCAGACCACCTTCCCCGCAGAGGGCGCTCCCCTGCCCGCTCCGAGGATGCCCTGACATCCCAGGGAAAACCCGGCACCCGTCACCACGGAGCCCCTGACCCCAGCCCCTCAGTTAACACCGCCCCCGCCGCACCGACCCAGCCCTCTGATGCACCTGCCCATGCTTGGCACACAGTAGGGCCCCCTCTGCCCTGCAGCTCCAGGGCTCGGCAAAGGCCTTGGGCAAACCCCAGGTGCCTGTCCGACCTCCACCCCCTCCCACCCCCCGGGGACACCCAGAACCACCTGCCCACATCTTGAAGCTGAACTTAATTAGCTAGTTGACCTCATTAACAATGAAACTTGAGCTCCAAGGAAAACGAGGTCATACAAGTTTCCAACTCACTACCTCAAATTTCCTCGAGGAGAACACCATCTTCGCGAGGCCTCTGGGACTCCCCGGACCCTGCAGCAGCGACGCCCCCCGAGGACTCGGGCCTGAACCCTCCACCCGCAGGGCCCAGGCGCCCGCCCGGACACTTTGAAAGCTGGGCGGCCAAAACCCCACGGTCACTAACACCAGCTTCTTCCCCACCCAGCGCCCCCAGCCCCACGGAAACGCTCCCTCGCCCGCGCATGCGCCCCCCCCTCCGGACCCCCGCGGCGCCGAGGCCCACCGCGGGCCCCGCACCCTCCGGACCCCCGCGGCCCCGAGGCCCACCGCGGGCCCCGCACCCTCCGGACCCAGGCCGTGGGGATCGCACCTGCTGGCTCGGTCTGGCAGCCCCGGCTCAGGTGTGACGCGTGGCCGGCGTTCCCGGGGGCGCTCTCCGCTCGGCGCGGGCTAAAGTTGCCAGGGAACTTGGGCGCCGAGAGCGCGAGACCAGCCTCCCGCATAACTCACGGTGGCGCGGCCGGGCGCTGGGACCGCTGCCTGCGCCCACCCGGTCCCTGCACGCCGGCCACACACCGCGGCTGGCAGGGACCCCGCGCCACCCCGGAGCCTGGGCGCCCCAGGTGCCTCCCCGGGCCCGCATCGGCGCGCCGGCCCCGGCCTGCCGGAGTCCGCGGCTGCAGCTGCGCGCGCCAGGACAGGAGCTGTGGGCCCGCGAACCAGCCGCCGGATCCCCAGGGGCCTTACGCCCGTGGCACGGGTCCCCGCCCCCCGAGCGCCCCCTGGCGGCTCTCCGCCGGCTCAAGTCCTCCGGCTGGGGGCGGCGACCTCGCCCAGGAGACCCTGGGGCTGGTCCACCTGCGTGGTCCCGGGGACAGGGGAGGCGCGCTCCGTGCGCCCAGGACACAGGGAGGTGCTGCTGCACCCCGCGCCCTCGGCTTTCTCAAACGGGCGCTGTCCGGGGAGAAAGCCTTGGGGGGAGGGGGCATCTCCCGGCGCCCCCCCCCCATCCCGAGCGGTTACTGCCCCTGGAATTAGAGCGCCCTCGACGCTTCCGGGAGCATGTGGGTCCCGGCCCCGCCCGCGCCCCGCGCCCCAGTCTCACCTGGCTCCGCGAGTGGGGGGCGGCGTCCACGCGCACCTGGCTCGGCTCCGGGGACACGAGCGGCGCCCAACCCAGCCCAGTCCGGCCCAACCGGAGCGCGGGAGCCGCCGGAGCCGCTGCCGCCGCCGCCGCCGCCCAGGTGTGGGGGGAGGGGGAGGGGAGCCGCGGCCCCGCCCCGCGCTGGCGCCCGCGGCCGGGGGCTCCTCGGAGGGGCGGCGCGGCCCGCACGGCGGAGAGGAGGGGCCGCTGGCCTCCAGGCACGCGCGCGGGTCCGCCTTCCCCGCCGCACCTGTGCCCGCCGGCTCCCGCGCGCGGGGTCTGTTGTAGCAACCCCGGGAGCGCCGGCGGCCGCCTGCGCCCCGCCCCGCTCCGCCCTGGCCCAACCGGCCCGGAGCTGCGTGGCTCGCGCCGCCCGCCCCCCGGAGAAACCTAGAGGCCGGCTCCCGCCCGGCAGGACTCAAATGCAGGGCCAGCCGCTGAGCGAGCGCGAACTTTGCACCTGGCTGACGGGCCCGCGGGGAGCGGAGCTACCCGGAGGCGCCGGGAACCCCACGATTGCCCGGGTTTTGGAATGGCAGGGTTTGCCCAGGCCCCCGGGGACCCCCCAGCTTAGCGCCTTGGCCGGGGGAATTCTGGTCTGGGAGCTGTGCTGGAGACGCCACCTTGCACGCGGTGCGTCTCTGAGCGAGCGCGTGGGGTCTCCGGATCCGGAGTTTTCCTGGACTGGGCGGGGCGGGGGGGCGCCAGGACCTGCAGACCCCGGGGGTCCAGGCGGTGATGGAGCGCACGGCCGCCCTGCACGCAGACCCGGGCCGCTATGTTCTGGCATCAACCTTTCAGGATATGCTTGAGAGATTTGCACGGCCGGTGACTTCTAAATTCCAAAGGCAAAGTTAAATATTTGCTCCAGTTTTTTTTGCTTGCATAATTGCCCTACATTTCAAAGAAGTCTTAAAAGCACTTAGGTTCCCCAAAAATAAATAAATGAATGAGTTGTGTTTGGGGCCAGGAGGTTTCAGGACCAATGGAGTAAAAGTTGCCGTTCCTTCCTTCAGGGCGGCTGCTGGGAGAGCCTGGGCGAAATGTCTGCTGAAGGAAGGAAGCAGCCGGCCAAGCAGAGGGACCCACACACAGCGGGGAGGCGCTGCCAGACGGGGTAGGGGCTGTGAGCGCCCTGCAAAGACACAGCTCCCCCACCCCCACCCCGCCCTGGGTGTCCAGATCCAAGGGGGCTGAGGCCAGAATTCAGCATGTGTCCCCAGGGAAGGCTCAAGGGCCAAGGCCATGCCCCCAGCTGGACGCCCCTGGGGCTACCCTCTGCTGGCCCTGTCTGAGCCCAACAAGAGTGTCCCGTGACAGCTCCGCCACTTGGCATTTGGAGGGTGGCGGTGTCCTGCGCACGCCCCAGTTTCTTTGTGTGGCTCGGGGAGATCCAGTTCTGCCGCATCCTTGAGGACTTGGACGACCTCTTCTGGAGAGGCCCTGGCAGTGGCCGGGAAGGGAGTTCAGGAGCACCACCCCCCCGCCCCCCACCAGCAGGTGCCACTGGAGACCAGACTCCCTGCTGGGGGCCGCGGGGCGGGGCCGTGCCCACTGGGCATCAGCTCAGAAAAGCAGCACCGAGCCTCCTTGTCTCTCTGCGTCAGGGCTCCCGGGTTCCGTTTCTGCAAACGGCACTGCCTGGATCCCCCCACCCGGCCACACGCACGCACACACACACTCACACACATGCACACCTGCACACACATGCACATGCATGCACTCACACGCACACACACACACAATCGGCCCTGCCTGGATCCCCCCACCCGGCCACACACACACTCACGCACACACACATGCACATGTTCACACGCATGCACACACGTGCACCCATACACATGCACACACACACAATCGGCCCTGCCTGGATCCCCCCACCCGGCCACACACACACTCACGCACACACACATGCACATGTTCACACGCATGCACACACATGCACCCATACACATGCACACACACACAATCGGCCCTGCCTGGATCCCCCCACCTGGCCACACACACACTCACGCACACACACATGCACATGTTCACACGCATGCACACACATGCACCCATACACATGCACAAACACATAAGCGGCCCTGCCTGGATCCCCCCACCCGGCCACACACACTCTCACACACATGCACACACGTGCACCCACATGCATACACAAACACACAAGCGGCCCTGCCTGCATCCCCCCACCCTGCTGCACACTCATACGCACGTACACACATGCACACACACACACGTGGCCCTGCCTGGATCCCCCACCACCCGGCCACACACACACACACATGCACTCACACACACACATGCACCCTCACACTCACATGCACACACACGCTCATGCACACACATGCATGTACTCACACATGCGCACACACACACAAGCGGCCCTGCCTACATCCCCCCACCCTGCCGCACACACACACACACACGCACGCACACACACATGGCCCTGCCTGGATCCCCCACCACCCGGCCACACACACACACATGCACTCACACGCTCACGCACACACATGCATGTACTCACACATGCACACACACACAAGCGGCCCTGCCTGGATCCCCCACCCAGCCACACACACTCACACACACACGCACTCACATGCACACACACACGCTCACACACACGCATACACGCTCACACACTCACACTCACACACACACACATACACACAAGCAGCCCTGCCTGGATCCCCCCACCTAGCCACACACACACGCACACACGCACTTACATGCACACACATGCATGCTCACACACACATGCACACACGCTCACACACTCACACACACACGCACGCACGCACTTACATGCACACACATGCATGCTCACACACACATGCACACACGCTCACACACACTCACACACACGCACACACGCACGGCCGAGTCTGAGGCGGCAGAATGAACTTGCGGAAGGAGACGATGTTTTCCATCAGGAACCCTCTCCTGGGTAAACCCTGCGACAGGAGGCCCCGTCAGCGTGATCACACGTGGCGCACGTCCGTGCTTGAGGGCTCCCCAGAAAGAGGGGCCCCTTCTAGAGAAACGGGGCTGTGGCCGCGGTGAGGCAGGTGCACCTCGGGCGCCTCTGCGGTCCTGGGAGACACAGTGTGGACGTGCGGGGCTCACACCGACCAGATGCTCCTGACATTCAGCGGCAGAACCTGTCTGTGTCGCCGGAGTCCTCGGGCTTCGGGCTGCTCCCCAAATGGGAGCGACCTGCCCACACCCCGCATCTGTAGGGGGAGGCAGAGGTTCCAGGAGGGGTGAGACTCGCCCAGGGACTGAGCTCAGAGCCAGGGAGAGGCAGGGGTGCACCGGGGAAGCCTGGGAAAGGCAGGCGCCAGCCCTGTGCCCTCCTCCCTGCTGGACTCCCCCCTGCTTTTGCAATGTTTTCTCCTCCTCTTACAGCAGGAAGCCCACCCCTCCTGTTCCCCCACACAGCAGTTACGGGACATTCCCTCCATGTTCATCGCTTCGTGACAACTCCCAGCCCAGTCCACAGACCAGATACAACCGTAACGGCCCCTCCTTGCACAATCCCACCCCTCTCCACATGCACCCCCACCCCGGGACCACCGCTCCTAGCTGGCACTCGGATTTCTGGCCGCTGATCTGCCCAGAGTGTGCTTTGCACAGAGGTGACCCCAAAGCATCCTGGGACTGAGCGGAGCAGCGGGGGACGCTGACGGGGTGGGGGGCTCTGCTTCCCCTGGGAGCGGAGATGAGAGGAGGGGCTGGCGGGCAGACGTCCTGGGGAGGATGCCAGCCCGCCGCGGCCACCGCCAGCGCGACCCCAGGCCTCCGTGTGGGTGCAAGTGCGGCCTGAGCTTGCGGGAGCTCAGGCCCCCAGGGGCTTCCCTGGGTCCTGGAGGAAGGGGGAGGGACCACCCCAACCCCTGCCCTGGGACGGGAAAATCCCACAGAGGGCCTCCTGCAGCTGCCCCCGCGGGGACCTGTGTGCTGGCGCTGAGACTCGGACAAAATCCCTTTCATGGGGGGGGGGGGGCAGTCCTCCTGGCTCTGCCTGCTCACTCACTGCCTGGCTCAGCTCAAACAGAGCAGCCTGCTTCCGAGCCCTGGTTTCAGTCTTCAAGGAAACTCAGATACAGAAAGTCCTCCTGTGGTCGGGGCCGGGGGTGGGGCGGGGGCAGCACTCCGTGCAGAACCACATGGTGAGGCTAGGAGGGCTTCCAAACAGTTCGTGGGAAAATGGAATTAAAAGATAAGTTTACGGAGCCGGCGCTGGGGCACAGTGGGTAAAGCCGCCGCCTGCAGTGCCAGCATCCCTTATGGGCACCAGTTCGAGTCCTGGCTGCTCCACTTCTGATCCAGCTCTCCGCTATGGCCTGGGAAAGCAGCAAAAAATGGCTCATGTCCTTGGACCCCTGCACCCGCGTGGGAGACCCGGAGGAAGCTCCTGGCTCCTGGCTTTGGATCGGCCCAGCTCCAGCCGTTGCAGCCATTTGGGGAGTGAACCAGTGGATGGAAGACCTCTCTCTCTCTCTCTCTCTCTCTGCCTCTCTCTCTTTCTCTGTAACTCTGACTTTCAAAGAAATAAAAATAAGCAAATCATAT